GGACTTCTTTCTAGAACATATAAAGAATTGAAAAAAATCAGACCCCCCCCAACCAAAGACTCAATCCAAAAATAAGTATCTGAGATGAATACACACTTTTCAGATGAAGAAATACAAATGGCAAATAAATACATGAAAAAATGTTCAAAATCATTGGTCATTTGAGAAATGCAAATAAAAATGACACTGAGATTCCATCTCACCTCAGAAAGAATGGCTATTAGCAAGAAATGAACCAATAATAAATGCTGGAGGGCATGTGGGAAAAAGGAACCCGTTTCCACTGCTGGTGGGAGTGTAGACTGGTACAACCATTGTGAAAATCTATGTGGAGATTCCTCAAAAAACTTGGATTAGAGGTCCCATCCAACCCAGCTATTCCCCTTCTGAGTACTTTCCCAGAAGAAGTGAAAACATTATAACAGTGATATATGTGCACCTATGTTTATAGCGGCCCGATTTGTAATAGCTAAATCTTGGAAACAACCCAAATTCCCATCAACTGAGAAATAGATAAAAAAGATGTGATATTTTTATATAATGAAGTACTACTCAGCTGTAAAGAAGAGTAAACTAGAGGCTTTTATAAGTAAATAGATGCAATTAGAGACCATACTTATAAATGAAATAAATCAAATTTGCATGTGTAAACACCATATGGTCTTGCTAATGTAAGAAACTGAAAGGCTAAATAAGATCCAAGATCTACAATCTACAATCAAAATCTTGTGAAAGGAAAAGAAACTGCCCAAAAACAAAAAACGATAGGGATGGATGAAAGGAGAAAAAGAGGAAGGGAAAAGAAAAAAATATATATACAAAAGATAAATAAGATATGTATATTATTGATTCTTTTAATTCATTGAAAATCCAGTTTATACATATATTGTTTGATCAAATATGCACGCTTATATCTTGTAATCTGAGTAAGTACTGTAAAGATAATAACATGCAACGTATGAACCATTGTTAATCTCCTATTATCTTTCTTTAATATTCTGTATCATTGTTTTTATTGTTTGTTTACTTTAAAACAAAAAATAAATTAAAGGAAGAGTTTTTGTAACTAATATAAATGTTTTATATGTTCTATATGTTCTCTTGTCTGTTCATCTGCCTGTTAATGTTTTTAATAGCTGCTTAAAGTATTTCAGCTGCTTCAGTGAAAAAACTTGAGTTCATATCAAAAAATTACTAACTATAAAATGGCCAATGCATTATGGTTTCCCAGTGGTTTTCTCTAGATAACCCACCTGCCATGTGGGTTAAGAGGATAGAGGCTGCCTGGCTACACTCCAGACCTGCAGTCTGCTTCTGCTGAAACCCTGAGCTTCCACCCGAGCCTGAAGATGTCAGGGGGTGACTGAAAAGGGATGAAAACGCACGGTATCTCTGACCCCATGTCGCCTCTGCCCCCACATGCTGCCTTAACTTCTGAGTCAGATGCTACTCAGCTCTGCACATAAACATGCGGATCATTTGAGAAATCTTCGATCCAGGACTGTAATCCACGGTTAACTTGACCTACATTTGCCTCTTTCCTCTCCTTCATGGATAAAGATCTCCACCAGCCAACCTGAACAGAAATATGAGACCATGAAAGGAGCGAAAAGGGGCATTTCCTGAGTTCCTGGACAATCTCTATCCATTTCCTGAAATAGCCCAAATTGTCTTCCCGTTTTTCAGTCTGTCTCTCTCCCTCATTATTCCTGTCCTATACCTGTGACTGCCTGAACTCCTGCTTCTTCTTATATTTTTGTCAATGAATGAAGTGTTTTTTGCTCCCCAACACTTCTCTCTTAGGCTGTTTTTTCTGTGGTTTGAGGTTCCAGACCTAGGCTTGGTAACACAAGAGAATGTGGCCCAGTCATGACCACAAGACACAAGAGGAAGTCAGCTGAGGGACTTATAAGGGGCTTGCTGCTCTAAGGGACGGCTGTGACAGGATTCATGGCTTCCCTTCCAACATTCTTCCTGTTTTGAATGCTGCTTTTCCCTGGATTCAAGCAGGATTTAGAGGCCACCAGACATGAGCCAAACCAGAGAGCAAGAGTGCGCAGGCAGAACGAGAGGGTTTTGGTTGACTCCCCACATAGCAAAGAGTCTGCACCCAGGGTCTCATCTTTCTACGTCACTCTTGCGCTCAGTGACCCTCGCCTGGGCCTTAGCCATGTGCTGATGTGCACAGTGCTCCATCCTGCCTGACAGGGACACAGTGAGCCATCCTCGTGGCTGAGCCTGCAGCCTGCAAAGGTTCCTGGAAAGGCTGTTTGTGGGCAGAGCAGTGAGCTGTTGGGAAGAAGCCCAGGTGTCACCTGCCTGGCTCTGGTCCTGGCCACCTGCACAGCCTAGATAAGGAGCCCTCCTTTCCCTATCCGCGGTGGAGAAGAGATGCTCACCACAGCCTCCCCCTCCCAGTGACTGCAAGGCACTCTCCTTGGGGAAGGAAAGAAAGGGTTAAGACAACATTCTCCTTGAAGAAATCCGCCAGGGTCTAGTTCAAGTCTCTGAACCCAGTAAACTGGTGCTCCTGCTCCCCTTAGCTCCTCCTTCCTCACATGTTTGTGTCCCTCATACACCTGGCTCCAGACTCCTGCCTAGATCATGGTCTGTAACCCCTGACCCAAGCCTTTGCTAGGTTGTGCCCTTCCCTGGATGCCTCCCCACCTTCCCCTCTGTGCAAGGCCAGCTCCCACGCCACCTTGTGCCTACTTGCTGCCCCAAGAACTGCCATGCTCCTCTGGAATGTGGCGCCCTCCTGGGTTGTGTCCATATCATGCTTCTGTGGGCACGTAGCTCCCCAATAGACTGAGTGTCCCAGCAAGAGCCCTGTTGTCATCTCATTTCCATCTCCATTGGGGCTCCTACTGCCAACCAGGCTGACTTCTACCCTCCACCCAGGTGCCCCAAACCCAGCGTGGGAGGCATTTACTAGACACAGGGCCCCGGCCTCTGAGGATGCAGAGCGGGTTCAGCTTTCCTCCCAGTTCAGTTATTCCATTTGCTTTTGTTCTGTCTCCATCATCAGCTATTTCTGGTAGAGAACAGATAGGACTGTGTCTCCAGTTTTACACACATTACATTACTGATTTCATGTTTTGTGCTTCTACCCGATTTTAATAGTTTCAATCTATTTGTCTGGGTCTGCTCCTCTAGCCTTAATATTTTCCATGATGGGAAGGAGGGCAAAGGTGGGGGCTAAAAGGCTCCAGAATTTTGGAACATAATCAGCATTTCCCTTCTGACTTTGAAATGTGCCTCAGATGTGGCCCAGTCATGCAGCCCAGGTTATAGAACATCTAGCCCAGGTCATAGAACACAGAGAAAAAATGTGCAAGTGCAGGGGGTTGGTGTTCAGAGCATTTTTGTTTTTAATCCTAAAGAGGAGAAAATCTTAGCTGGGCATGGCAGCCCCTACCTGTGATTCTAGCATTAGAGGGTTTGGAACAGAAAGATGAGGAGGAGTTCAAGGCCAGCCTGGGCTACAGAGCAAGACCTTTTCTCAAAACAACAGCCAAACAACTAAATAGCCAAACCTAATAAACAGGAAACCAAAACCAAAACCAAAAACCCCCAAGAACAATCCAAAGACAAGAAACAAAGGAGGGAAATCACTAACTATCCAACCATAAGGGAGTAGACAGTGTTATCTACTCCTGCAAGGGAATTCTGGACCACCCTTGTACAGAATGAGAAGAGGCACGCACAGAAACACCCTTGGAGCCTGTAAGACAGATGCTGCAAACATCTGGCTGCACAGATCTCAGTGTGGCGAGCCCATGGGAGTGTCGTGGGTGTGTGCCTTGGTGCATGTGAGATTTAAGTTGTACCTGGCTGCCAACATTTGAACTGTAACTTTCACCACTTTTACACTAAGTGCTCCTCATTTCTGGGATGTGACAGCTGTGTCCCCACATTCCCTGCAGAGCATTCTCTGGAACTGAGAAGCCAGCAGCCCCTTCCCAACTTTCCTCTTTTTCACAGCCACTGTGGCCTCTGGGGTCACAGTGCTTGCTGTCCTCTCTCACTGCACTGCATCCACCTCACTGTAACATGGGCAGCAGCTGGCTGGGGGCTCAGCAGGGCAGGGGACCCTAACTCTGTCCCTCAGGATTAAAAGCAGAGGGGTTCCGAGAGGGGAAGTGACAGTGTCACACAGCTCCTGGTGGACAGAGTGGGGCCCACCATTGGTCCTGTTATGCTGGGATTGGAACACAACAGGGAATTTTAAATTCAAAAGTTTCTAGGTGCATCCTGCTTCAATAAACACAGAAGCTTACCTGATATGTTGTCATTGGCGTCGCTGTGATCTTAGGATGGCACTGAGGTCACCAGGTGATTCTGCAACCTCCCAATTCGAGTCCCTATGTCTGGGCACCATTCCCATCTGGACATACAGCATAGCCTTTATCTTCTTCCTCTCACTTCCACAAGCTGAGCAGAGGATCAGACTGTGCAGGCCTGACACCTACCTGCTCGGCTCCTTCCCAGGACCCTGGGCAGGTGAGTCTCCTCTCGGGTCCTCAGTTTCCCCACAGGACCTGGCACAGCGCAGGTCCTCAGAGACATGGTGCTGAGACAACCTCTGGCCTCTTTGTATCCAAAAGAAACACTGCTCACATCAGGCTTCCGAAGCAGGCCAGGCTGCAGGTAACCAGGCCAGAAGGACAGGGGGACTCTAGGGCCCCTGACTTCCTCCATGGCCTTTGGTTTCTCCAAATTTCCCAGTGGGTGGCCATGACCACGTCCACCCTGCCTCAGTGTCACTTTGCCCCAGCTGCATGAGCCCAGGGAGCTTTGCGACCCATCTGTGTGCTCCTTCTCTTCTCTTCAGCTTAAGTTATAGGAGGAGGGGAGCAGGCACAGACTTGGGTGCCAACTCGGGCTCTGTTTCTGCTTAACTGAGCCACACGCTCTTGGGCTCATTTGTAAAATGGACACAAAATCTTTGACTGACAGAGAGGTTGTGAGGATGAGGATCGGGTGGAGCCTCAACTTACCAAGGGACCTTCTCCTGCTTCTGCGTTGGGACGCGACCCAGCCGTCCTGAGCTGTGTGGATCCAGTCACCAGCTGTGGGCTGTATAGGGACCAGTGTTATCCTCCAGCAGCCAGAGCCAGGCCCAAGATATGGAAAGTGCAAGTCACAATTTCTGAGCAGTGCACGATTATACACCCCAAATATGGCCTGCTGGGCACCACCCTCACCCCACCCACCTTGCTGACCCACTGAGAGCAACAAGCTCAGATTCCACATTCTCTGCCCCAGCCCAGCCCAACCCAGTTGTGGGATCATCTATAGTCTTCAAGAAGGATGATCCACCACTGGAAGAGTGTGGGACCTGCCACAGATTACTCCCCATACCATCATGGGCTTGTACCTACCTCCTTCCTCTCTGCCCCTTCCCCTGGCATGTCTGCCTCACCCTTGTGAAGCATCAGCAGTAGTGTTGCCTCCTGCATGCTCTGCACACTTACTACATGCTTGGTCTCCTGCTGTTGTGGAATGTGGTGTCCACGTGGCATCTAGACATTTGTTCTTATGGATTCTTCTGCCAAGAGTACCTGCTTCCCCACCTGGAGCTGTCATGCATGGCTTCCTCTGGGGTCCCTCCAACATCCTCCAGCAGAGTCCACAGCCCCCTGCTCTACTCCATGGCACCTTGGGGGAGAGGCCAAGGTTTACAGCTTTGCTGCCAGGTAGAAATCACTTTGTTCAGTAGAAATCACTACCAGGTAGAAATCACTTTGTTTCCAGGTCAGTAGGACATGCAGCTGGAGTGCTGGGGGACTTTTCTGCTTCTGCGCCACAGAAGCTCTGTAAAACAAGGCTGGACCACAGCCCTTACCCTTCCACTGGGGATGTTCCATCTTGGGCCAATGTTCAAGTGACCTTATGGTCATCCCTCACCCAACTTTTGAGGGAGGGGCAGCGGGTGACTACTCAGGAACCACATACTGCGGTTTGCAGTGCATTCACACTTCCACTTAACTGGACTTCTAAAACGATTCTGGAATGAGCTTAATCTCTCCTAGTTTCAATAGACTGTTATGGTTGATACACTGTGTCAACTTGGACAGGCTAGAGGTTTGGCTAAGTGACTCAGCAGTTCTGCATCCTGGGGTGAAAAGGAAATGCTCTTCCCCTCCTGGGGTATTGTTCATTATGTCAACTTGGGAAGTTTAGAAGATTAACTATGTGACTTAGCAGAGTGTCAGAGTGCTTACTTTGAATTCATCTTGAGCCTGTGCAAAAGATGGGCATGGAGATTATGTGAGTGCTACTTGCACCCGGGTGAGGGTGGCCTGCTCACAATAATGGAGGGAAACAGGCTTGCTCTTCTCTGCCACTCCTCCCTTTTGCTCTTATTGCTTTGCTCTTCCACTGCCATAAACTGTTGCTCTCTGCCATGTGCCACTCTGCCTTGGAGCCAGTCAAGTCTGGACTGAAACCTCCACAAATGGTAAGCTAAAAAAACCTTTCCTTCCTTCATTTTGGGCATTGGGTATTTTGTCTCAACAAGGAGAGAAAAGTAACTAAGACATAGACATAAATAGTCTGATGTAAATAGTTGGATGTATTTAAGGGATAAGTCATCTAACTTAAGGTTAAAGGAAACTGATGGAAGGGGAGAAGCTATGGTTTTCATCTAGAAACTCAGATGAGAAGGCAAGACATAAGCTGTTTTTCACATTTAGACACCTTGAAAAAGAATACTTAGAGTCGTCACACATGTCTCCTTCCAGATTTTAGAGGAAATGTTAGGAAGAATCATTTTTATTTGCAGGCGAAGAAGGATGCACATGTGTGTCTGGTAGTCGGGGACTTCACTGTCCTTGGCACAGATTCAGGTGGCTGCCTGATCTGACACTCCCTTACCCCAGGGTTTGTGTTTTTATCATTCATCTCCCTTTCCATGTTCCTGGACTGATTGGTGCAAGAACACAGTCACCCAACCTGAAGCTCTTCAGCCTCCTAAGAATTTGAATCCTTACTAAAAGATAGAGACTCAAGGTTTTTGGATCTAAGCATGTAATACACAACCCTCCAAGGGAGTGCCATGATTTCCTGAAGTTGGACCCACTCTAGTTCCTGTTGTCTGTAGCTTTTGTAGATCTTTTTCTTTTTAAAATCCTCTTCGTACCCCGATTTCCTTTCAAAGCATCTTCTGTTCTGTTTTTGTGAGTCAGACTCCATTTCTGTGTCTCATCCAAAAGAACCCCAAGTAACACAAGCATCACAGTGAAACTACATCAAAAGCACCATGGACTTTCAATCCTCAGGGATCAGGGGTGAAGTGTGGATGGATTACTGAACAGTACATGGCTCAGTACATGAAATACCCAATGCCCCAGTGAAAACTAGGAAGGAATGGAAAGCACCCAATCAATTATCAATGAATATTGAGAAGAAGTGAATTACTACTCAGGTGATGAGGCATTTGGGTGGAGGTGGCTCTGGTGACATTTTCAGGAGGAAATGGAAGAATCAGTGGAAGGATTCAGGGACACATTGGCTGATGGAGGCTCAGAGTGAGTGGGAAAAGTCATCTGCATTATTATGTAAACAAGGGGACCTACAGGGTCCTGGGGACACCTCAGAAGGACAGGAGAATACCATCAGTGAATCTGGTTCTTCCTCTGGAGTCCACCACATGACTCACATGTTCCCCAGGAGTCATAGGGAATCAGTGCCCACCGGGGCAAGTCCATATGGGATAGGAGCTTCCTTCCTTCCTTCCTGGAGAGGAAGATACTGAGGACCTTCCCATAGACTCCTCAGATGGTTCTGGCAGGGCTGATCATCCATATGGTGAACAAATCAAGAGCGTGCCATTTTATTGTCTTTCTGTCTTCCCTTGTGTCATTTCCCCCAGTCCCTCAATCCTGCTCCCAGAATCAGCTCATAGATAACTCTGTGTCAGCTTTGCCCCTGGCTCTGCGGATGGAGACTACAGGTTATAACAGGTCCCTCAAGCCTGCAGAATGTCTTGGGAGTTGAGTGCTTAGAATAATGGAAAGTGGCTGGAGGGCTAAAGCAGGTGCTTGATCAAATTTATAACCTTAAGGGCCAACCTGACCCAATGTGGAGAGTACACAGGGGCAATGCCACAAAGAAGCACAATTTGGAAGATCTTGTAGGAGTCTAGGTGAAACAGGAGGGACATTTGGATGAGATGTTTGCTGTGTAACTGTCTCTCCCTGTCCCTCTCCTGCTGAGTGTCTCACCCACCTGCACACAGGCCCTTCTGATCCTAATCCACCCCATGTGCTGCTGTGGACCCTGGTCTCTGCCTGCTGTGGGGGAATGTAAGTGTGCTCAGCCCCAGTCACACATGATGAGCTTCATCTGGGTGTCCCGTGGGCTGTAGGTGCCAGAGGCTGAAGGAAATCACTGGCTGGGAGAAGAGGAACTCAGGTTGTGGGTAGGAAGGTGGTGGAGAACTTGCTTCCTGAAACCCAGAGAGAAGGTTGCAAAGGAACCTGGAATCTGGTGCCCAAGAGCGCCCATCAGTGAGCAAAATGAAGGCTCAATGTGCCAGCAGGGGTATCTAGCTTGATCATAGCAATTTTGAGATGTAATTGACAGGATTGTCCCATTTCTAATCCTGGCCCTCTCTTCCTTGTATATTTTGCCCCATATTATAGAAAACCATAATCAGCAGAGTGACATATGGGGCTGTACTACCAGATCCTGTTGAGTCTGAGCAAGGAATGTACCTAATTTCTTGATATTAGCTTAAGATGAAGCCAGGTATATTGTAGCTTGGAGGAATTCACTTTTATTTTGCTCACTGTTTAATACCTTTAACCTGACACAAGTTGTGGGGATCTACCGATCTTATTGTTGCCTTGGAGCATGCTTCTTTCCGTAGTTCTCCACTAACAGTGAGACATCTTGCAATCCTGAATCTAGCTCTCTGTTTTTAAAATCCTGGATGTTTATCCTTCTTTAGTTGATCTCCTGGCACCTTATACATATGGAAGTTGGTTATATGCATTCACTTTTTCCAGAACAAGCAGTTAAAATTCACTGAACAAAAGTCTGTAGAACACCAGACAGAAGAGCCAGATGGATCTGACATGTCATCTTGCCAACACGCTCTTTCCCAAAAGACGATGAAACTGAAGCTCAGGTAGGTTGTACCTCTTGACCCTCGCCTGGTTGATCTCTGCACATTATCTCGATTCTTGACCCATTCTTTATATCTCATTTCACTTTACTTCCCTCCACCCCAAGTCAACCACTGTTCCAATTCTGCATTTGGAATTCCACTGGTCCCTCAGAGCACCCTGGCCCCATTGGGGTTGGGTACTTACCAAGCACTCCACATTCTCTGCCTTCATCATTTCACCATTGTGGTGGAATGACAACTGGTGATCAACTTGTAACACTCAGGTGAACTGAACCAGTGTGGTGCTGGCCATGGGAGGCCCACCTGAGGATTATTGCTGGCAGCACAAGTGGCAGAACTGGAGTAGAGGAGCTGTAGGGAGCTGTTGGTTCTCTGGGAGGACCTTGTCATGCTGCCTTTCCTGATGAACCCAACTCTTCTCATTGTCAAATGAACTTGGGACCTTGTTGTGGCTGAGAATGGCTATGGTTCACTTTGGGGAAGCTCTGGTCCTCACTTTGAGCATTGCTTCCTGGCTGTGGAGGAGAAGATAGATGGTGCACTGGTCAGATACTGGAGAAGCTTGTCATGTGGGCTTTCCTGATAGGAGCTGGCTGCTCTCATTGGAAGAGGAGCTTGGGACGTTGCTGAGCATGGCTGTGGTACCTCTCATGGGAGCTCTGGCTCTTACTTTGAGCATCGCTTCCTAACTCCAGTACTGATTCCTCAGCTTGCTAGCACAGACCCTTCATCCTGCTGGCACAGACTTTCTAGCTTCCACCACTGACCTTTGGGCCTTCCTGGCACAGATCTCTGAAACAGGCCTGCATGAGACATTGTGGTGGGCTCTTGGCCTGCAGCTGAACTCGTGGGGAGCAGTGTAATGGGCTCTAGGTCTTCAGATTGGCTCATTCAGGACATTACCATGGGATCCAGGCCCTCAGGTGGATTCTGTGGTCTTTATTGTGTGGACAGATTTCCTGCACTCTT